GTCTATAAAAGTGGCAATTATTATTCGATTTACATAAAATTTTCACCATGTGATGCCTTATGCCATTTCTGATTTCATAAAACTAATTGAATATTTTCATTATCACCGGAAGTACTGTACACTTACATGTAACAAATATATAAAATGAATTGATATTGCTGGATTTGGTTGATTCGGCGTCCATTTTATTTGATGTGTGCAATGATGAGGTGGAAACCTGTTTAATGGTTTCATTGGTACCGGAAGTGACATATGTTTAGGGTAACGTGGCACCGGTGAAACCCGTCATTACTGCATCGCAGTTCTAGTTTGCAAGTCGTGTTTACTGACGGATGCCAACATTATATCGCTCTCCTACAAATCAATGTTGTCTACTCCATCCAGCTGCTGTCTCTTGAACCTCTGCGGTCTCTAACGAATTTACCGGCTATTAGTTCGTTCCTGGAGTTTTACGTCCACTTCCACTAAGGGTGATATCGTAGACAAACTATAAAGTGTTTTAGCGAATGGTTACAGAAAGGGTCTTGTAGATTAAGACTATAGCGCATGTGCAGTTTTAAACTTCCGAGACGACAAGTCGATGATACAACAGTTATGCTTTTTGTCGTGGCGACAAGTCGATGATACGACAGCACGACAAAACACCAAACTGTCATATCATCATCGACTTGTCGTGTCGGAAGTTTAAAACTGCACGTGCGCTATAGTCTTAATCTACAAGATCCTTTCTATAACTATTGAATTCGATAAAACACTTGGCACATGTGAAAACAATATAATAATAATATATTTATTTCGTACTTAATTGAGTACACAATACACAAATACTTACAAATTTCAAAATTAAAAGAGTTTTAGAAAATATATTTTATAGGTCTGTTTGTTCCTTTTAAACTGGCCGAATAGAGGGATAGCGTGTTTAGTCCAACGATCGGTTTGTCGATCCCGTCGTTACACTTTTGATGGTTGCGACTAAGCGAGTCTTAAAACTATGCATACTTATTCCTTACACTCTAATGATGATCTTTTTTGCTTTTGTGCATGCCCGACCAACAGGGACATAGCCACGCCCAATTGTTGGATGTATTGTTTCCAGGCCGCAATTTTGAATGAATCATCCTTGAACTTAGTTACCCATTCCTTACACCCTAACGATTATCTTCTGGGGTCAGTGACACCCAATTTTTATTTGATATTTTGTGGGGGAGCCACAGTGGCTAGGCGGGAAAGACGTTGGTTCGGCAACCCGGAGGCCGGGTGTTGGATCCCTGCATTGGCCGAGAAAGTTCATCCAGATTTTCCGGCGCGGTGCCCCCTTGTCAGTGGTGCTGGACAGAGGGCCTGGCACGTAAAAGATCCTTTGGTAGTTGGAATTCAATATAAGGGTAGGCCAGTGCCGCTGTCCTAGACAAATTTCACTCATAGTATGACGTATTACCGTCTTCATCAGCCCAGTCCGAGCAGAATAGTTGAATGTTAAACCCCATTTCATTTCGATATTTTGCGGTCGCAATTCTTAATCGATTGTCATGAAACTTGACACACTGGTCGCCTCTACTCTCACGAAAACACCTATTGATTTTAGCAAAGGGGTAGTGCTAAGTTGGATCATCTTTGAACCTGGCATATTGATTCCTTATTATATGCTAAGGTAGGCACCGATTGATGTTTTGGCCACATCTACTTTTTTGTCAATAATTTGTGGCCGCAAGGCTTCATGCACGCGGTGCCACGCTCGCTTCTTGTGTCTCGCGTACGGGCCCCTCTGCCAAGGGCATGGTGACGCGTAATTTTGTATGGGGAATGTTATTCCTGAGGTGGCACAAAAACACACAGTATACATCGTTAGAGGGGGCGGTGTGTGTGGAAGGGGGGGGGGGGCGGTTCTTGGGTCTTTGGTATATCTGAGCCACTGTTTGAACAGATATGGCAAGTGTAAGCCAATAGCGTGGAAATCCACATTGAAAACTATGCAATTTTTTTGAAAGGGAGGCGCAAACACTCATGAAGCGCAAAAGAACTGCGTCCACTTCACTTAGCTCCTGCGCTCTGAATGGATCAAATTTGGCACAATCATTACTATCAAAGAGAGTATGACACCCTCTGATGTAAATGCATGCCCAAATCACTTCTGTCATATTGAAACCCGCTTTGATTTTTTGGGGATTTAAAGGTGGTGGCTCGATTTGAGGCTTTCTATAATTCCCGTCCCACCCTGTAAAAAAAATATGTGAAATCCTCTGAAATCCCTTCTAAATTATCGCTCCAGTCATCTATAAGTATCGGTGGGTGTCGTACACGAGGCAATGTATGGTTACTTGTTCGATACCTCCGACACCACTTCTTATTCAAGGAATTAACATAGCCAACTCACTCTGGTCCTGTTATTGTAATTCTAGATTTTTTGAATATAATACCAAATATAATTCACTTTTGGACGCAGAGTGTTTCATCATTTTGAGAAAACAAATAATTAATCATTGTTTTCCTATTATCTCTTTTGCACGAGTCTTATTTATATTTATCTAATCTGCTACTTATATGATGTAATGAGTACAGCTGTATCTTTGTGACTTGTAGAAAGAGACTATAAGCCGACAAGTCGACATCTCGATGTTACATCAAAATAACACGATGATACGACAGAGTAAAGTGTCGTGTGATTGCTTCAATACTGTCGTGGTGTCGTGTTGTGGCGTTATGAAAAGGGGCGAGATTTAAAGGAGCTACGTCGCTAATATTTGGGACTTAGAAATTGACACAAATGGGTCGCAACGCATACAATAATGTAATATGAATGTATATAAATTGATTTACATTCAATCGTTTCTGTTTTTACTGTAATTTCTAATCAGTTAGATTCGGCGAAATACGCCAGTATTCTCAATCGAATTTCAATCTCTAGCGTCTGGTTATTCCACTCTTCGGCGATAGTATTTATTGGGCATGCTCTCCAGATAAGAATATAGCGTCACCGTTTGACATAGCTTGTGGAATATGCCTAGGCTCGTTTTTCGAGTCCCTAATTACACATAGCGCTGAAACGCATTATGGTACACGATTCGTGTACCAATTGTAAAATGTTTATTTTGTCTTTAAATATTGGATATCAGAAGGCTATCTTTTCGCGTTAAGATCACATCATCAGTGTTGATTTAAACCGACAAATAATTCGTGTTTTCAATGTCGAAGAATTTGGATGATATTGAGTTAGAGACTTAGCTACTTTAACATGGCCACTATCAGCCACCATATATGTATGTGAATCTAACAATTAGCCAAAGATATGTTATTAATACAATCCTATTAATTTAAAGAGCAAAAATTCATACAATAATCTTACATTAGCTAAATGTAAATATTGAGTTCAATGTCAGTCATATCGAGGAAGTACGCGCATGCATTTGATTGGTCACTTCACAGGATAAATCCTACGTGAATAGGACTTGTTCTAAACCCAAGGATTTATCTGTAGGCCAGAAAATCTGTAACCTACTGGACAAATTTTTGCTGGAATGATACTTTATTCTGAGCCAAGTTATCACTATTTGTAGTTTTGACAAGATGTGTGCATTGTAGGGCTGCAACGATACACCAGGCCACGATACGATGCGCATCACGATTCATACTCCACGATACGATTAATATCGCGATGCAGTTTTCTCGGTCCACTGAAAGAATTCCATTCTTGTCATAATTTACGGGAAATCCAAAAAACTCCCATACTTGTGACTTAGATCTATACTTGGCAGAGGGATTTTCAATTTCTACGTTATTTTTGTCGCCCGTACGACCTGAATTTGTTGACGAATGCATCATTATTAAAAATATTCTGTTGCTGAATCAATTCAATGGCTGGCTCGTATTGCTACAACAATTTCAGCCGATGCAAAGCTTTCTCGTTGTCAGGTCAGACGTAGATGAGAGAATGGCAAAGAAAATAACAATACGAAATTTGAATGTCAAAATATTATTATACATTGAAAATATAGAAAAGATAATTGTGCTGATCATTGTATGCACCTATCACCATTCTTGCACAGTAGTCTTATTACAAATCGCATATTACTGACGTATTTATAATAATATGTTGTATGCTTTTTCCGCATATTATTCAAGTGTGTAATTTGCAAGTAACCTAATTTCATGCCTGACTTGCTTATCCAGACTGATATTTTATTTTATTCTTGACGAAATAGCTGAAAGTCTCGAATTATTCACGTGCCGAAAGCGAGTTAACACGTACTCGCTGAAAGTAAAAAAAGGTTATTTTACTCATAGACTTATTTAGGCATTCCTCGTTAGTATATTTAAACCACAGAATGTCAGTCTATTTTTTTTTAATTTTGGATAGCGAATCGCGATACGGACATCGATGAATCGTTGCAGCCCTAGTGCATTGACTGTTTACTATCGTAACCACCGTACTGGTATTTCTGAGGTAAAACAAAATTACAACCCGTTCCCAAATTTCGTTCCGTTTGTGACACCCCTAATATAACTGAATGCTCCTACATTATACTTACTGGTCATTTGCCAACAAAATATAAGTATTACAAAGTTGTTATAAACTTTCTCTTAAATAGAAACTAACTATTCTAGGCTTAACTTGAATTATCTGGCAGGGAACAATGTCTTGTCTTTCAGATGGCACGAAGAACCGAACTCCCGGGTATACATCGGCGTGCACGTAACCCTAACCCTTGACATGAAATTCGAAATGTTAGGAGACCGCAGCGCCGCTGTACAGACACCCTGTCCCAACCCCACCCCTTAGCACACTACATGGCCTAGTCGATGCAGAAAAATCGTACGTTAAACCCCATTTGGACTGGCAATTATTTAAGGCCCATTTATTTAATGCTGAAAACTGTTTTGTCGATTGATATGTTTACTGTTTAACTACGAGAAAATGATTACTACTTGTTGTAATTACTAAAAAATATTTTTTATCAAACACAAGGCAGTAGTGACAATTGGTGAATAAAGAATATACTTACCACACAACTTTTCCCTAATGAATTGAATAAGGTCTCATTGTCTTTGTCATTCAAAAGAATAGACGGTTTGTTCGTTAACTTAATTGTACGGTTCTGGGACATTCTGAATTTATGTATCTCAATCTGTCCTATGCTCAATATTACGACTTGTGTGAGCATTGATATAGGATTACTTTTAACTTACTACCGGGTAACAAATGTCGATTGATTGTGTGAAGATAATGAGTCAGCTCACTATAAATTAATCTGAATAATCATATACATATAGTATTGATACGTTTAATTTTGTATTACGGCGTGATCTTTATATACATTTTGTGGTCTTTATATAGGCTACATTTATATTATATAGGGCCTATTATTGTTATTCGTCGTAAGCTATCATATATAATTAGTCTTCCGTGCCATTAGTACCAACGGTAACGCTCATAAATAATAACAACAAAAGATACGACTGAATATTGTGAATGTTAAGGTCATTTCAAATACTTATTTTTAGCGACAGGCCATAGGATAGGGAATGACGATATTTTTCAACACCTTCAAAATGGCTGCGTATTGGGGACAGTAAATTACTGATTATTATTATTATTGTTCGATTTATATAGCGCTTCATTACACATGAAGTGTTTCTAAGCACATATCACAAACATTTACTTCAAACACACAGAAACAATCAAAATCAGGAGAACATAATTAAACACAATTAAAGACAATTAAACACAGCTGCCTGTTAGGCGCTATTATTCAAAGGTTTATATCCAATAAATCAACCGGCTAATCTCTATATTGAACTCAGTCAAGGTATTACCTGATGAACACCTACACCAAGTAGAGTTCAAAAATAAAAAACGAAGTTTAAAAGAATCAACTTCATTAACAAAAATTAAACAATCAAAAACTAAACAGATAAATCAAATTCAAACGAAACAAATAAAACAAAGAAAATGAAAAGAGCAGTTCATTACCATTCTACATTAACAAAATAAAGGAAAACAACTTGTGAAAATTTTTCAAAAAATAAGAGCAAAGTAACACTAATGTTAATACTTTTTTAACGAACATATGTTATATAAAGTATTAATTAGACATTTATTCACATGACAAGCCAATAATCAACTCGTATCATGCTGTTACCATTGTTCACATTTGTTTGTGGACACTCCACAGGTCACAATCTTTATCCAATCCAGATGAAGCTCACAATATATGTTTATTTCCCAAATAACTCGGACACATGTCGAACCTTAAATTTCTGGATTATTACCCCTGGTTGTACATTCATGGGAGGACGAACTCCATCAATAATCAGTGCTCCACAAAACTCTGTTCCAGAGTTAACCCCTGAAAACCTCCGAAAAGCAATAGAGGCTACAGTTTATGAAAGAAGAGTTCAACCTAGGCTTTGACTAGAAAAGTAGAATTACGCGGATCAAACGGGTGTGTTTTGCACACTTCTGTCCACGATTTTCGCAATAGAATTCGGCGTTTTACACGATCGACCCCATTGCTCGAGCCACCCCTACACATAATACATTTAAATTTGATTGTATTTATTAAAGTGAAGATCGAAGTTTTTTTCTAGTTATCTTAGTTATAGGCCAGAAGCTGGGTCAGATTTTTATGACTTTTTCTTCCACCCATCGGTGTTGTGGCTAAAAACATTTTTAAAAATTCAATAAAGTTACTTAAACGAGCTCATCATACGCACGAAAACTTGCTAACATCCAAATTATTTTCTTAATTTAGGATTTTATTTTTTCCCGGATTCATAGAAATAACATAGCATAAATAAAACGATATCAACGGGCATATTCATTTGATGAAATAATAACCTCAGTCGGACTTTCATTTATTTAATAAAACATACATTAATTTAAACATACATTATGCAAGAACTAAATCTGCTTATTGTAGGTCTTTCTTTAGGCCTGAAACTATTAATATAACATTTATTAACAAAACAAGACCATAATCGACTCTCGATGGCATCGGATACTCGAGATTTTAACTAGATTAAAGCAGTTCGTCATTTAAAAATTTAATTTAAAAATGGGAAAGCGAGGCTAAGTCCCGATTATACCAGTGCCCTGGTTACCACTGTGCACACATCTTGTCAAAACTACAAACAATGATAACTTGGCTGAGAATGAAGTAATTTGAATGAAATTTTCAATATTTTCTTTTTTTTTTATCATCTTTTTTTAAAATTATTATAGCAAGAATGACCAACGCTTACTAATGCATCTTTAATAAAACAAACATGTTAATGAAACATTTAATAAAAAAATACATTTATTTAATAAAACATACATTTTATGAATAAAACATAGCCTACATTTATTTAATAAAACCAATATACAGTATACATGGAATACATTTATTTTAAATCCAATTATATAAATCATACATGAAATGCATTTATTTTAAATACATTTATTTTAAATCCAATTATATAAATCATACATGAAATACATTTATTTTAAATAATCAATTTTTATTTCCATTTTTCAGACATTGTCGCCATTTTTTTTTATTATTGAGCAGGTGGGCCATACAAATGACTAACTTTTCTTAAAAGTTTGCTTGTACTAATTTCTTGGTTTTTGTATTCGTCCCAAAATTTAAATAGTTGGTCCTCTATCTGTCGGTACTTCTTTCGCTGATGTCGCCTTTGCGAACTCTCTGACATCATGGTGAGTTCGAGAGGTATCTTGGTAGATTCAGAAAAAAATTGAGTTTAACTGATCCGGACACCTTTCTTTCAATTTTCTATATTGTTACAGATTCATTTACGCAATGTTCACTATCCATAATAGATTCGTAGAACTTGTCGTTGTTGCTGTTTATTAAAGATTTAAACATACATTATGCAAGAGCTAAATCTGCCTATTGTAAGTCTTTATTTAGGCTTCACATGTTATAGAAATTATTAATTAGACCTTTATTTACATGACAAACTCAAAATCAACTCTGTAGACCCTCGAATGATTTGGATACAGCTTGGATTTAAACAGACGTCCATTTAAAATTAAATTAATAAATGGCTGACCAAGCTAACGTTTACCGTTAGTCGCCGACGTCACTACCGAAAACTGGTGATGAAAGACCTGCCAAGCCAAAGTACCATTGCCATTGAGAATGTTACTTGATAATCGAGAATATGAGGGTGGAGTTATCGTCTCTCAATCAAACGATCGGAAAGTCTCGTAGAAGGTGCCTATTTCTAGTCCAAACGTCCAACAGTGACAACTCCGTTCAAAATAAAGTAATTTGACTGAAATTTTCAAAATTTTCCTTTTTTATCATCTGTTTTTGAGTTATTATAGCAAGAATGACCAACTCTTTATTAAACTCTTAACTAATGTATTTTTATAAAATCGCTGTCGTGGGAAGAGTTGGTGGGTCATCTTCTCCCTTTGTCATAATAAAAACAGGTTAAAACAGGAGGTACAGCTGACTGATGTTCGGCGTCATCAGTGCAAATAGCAAAAAAAAAGTGGGGAAAAAGAATCCGCTTGCGTTATGTGGAAAAGCGAAGTGCTAGCAGTAAAAAGCACATTGCTGGACCCGTATTAAAAACTGTTCGTTCAATAAGTTCCATATGGTTAAAAGTTAGTTAAAAGTTCAGATTACATTATTATATGCGTTGCGATCCATTTGGGTCAATTTCTAGGTCCCAAATATTAGCGATTTAGTTCCTTTAAAACGTCATTTCGGTCATTTCACCCCCCCCCCCCGGTTTGGTGGTGAAGGGGATTTCGCGTTCTTAAAGGAGCTAAATCGCTAATCTGATTGTATATAAACTGATTTACATTCAATTGTTTCCGTTTTGACTCTAATTTCAAATCAGTTATGTCCAGCGAAATACGGCATGAGTCTCAACCGACTAGCAATTCCAGTCTATTGTGCATGCTCTCCAGATAAGATATGGCGTCACCGTTTGACATGAGTTGTGGAATATGTCTAGCCTCGTTCTTCCTGGTCACTTGTTACAAATGACGCTTAGATGCCCATTTATATTGTTCAGGCGTTCACAGGGACTGACACGCGACCGTTTAGCAGTAAAAAGTGCCCAGTAAAATTGACTGGGAAACAAAATCTTGTCGACAAGGTTTCAATAGAAGAGTCCCTGAACGTAGAGGCCGAGTGTAATGAGACCTACGTTCAGAGCTGAACTACCTGGTACCGTGCCCAGAACGGCACGCTATCGTAAACGAGGCTTTACTTTACTGTGCCACTCGAGGCTCCATGCATTTCTCGTGAAATTGCATCATTGTTAAATGGAAACAATTTAATAACAGCCCAGAATAATACTTGATATTATATTATGTTGTTTCACTTTTTTTGATTGGATGTTTATTATGTACTAGAAATATTTAATTTAATTGATGCAATTGTGTTTAAATTTAAGCCACTATATATCATATTGTTGCCTTGTCTTCGTCCGGACGCCCATCCACGGTTTGTTTATATGGACACTCTACAGGTCACAATTTTTGATCCAATTTTGACGAAACTTTTAATAATGGTTTATCTCCCACAGATCTCAGATCCTATCGATATTGACATGTATCAGACCGTAACTTCATGGATTATGGCCGATTGAACAAAAAAAAATCACGTTTATTTATAGTTTGTGGACACTCTGGAGGTGGCCAGATCTAAATATTAAGGCCCCCTGTAGATTTCGCCAAGGTCACGAGATGTAAACAGGGTTAGGGCACGTGATTGTTGCTGAGGATTGTGGGTAAGGGTTAGGGTTAGTGTTAGCGCTAGCCCTGTTTACAACTCGTTACATTGACGAAAAACGCGATTTTTCGAACAATCTGGTGCAATAATCAGGGGCCATAACCCATGAAGCTCTGATGGAGGCAGACCACCATTAATTTCCCCATTGACTTCAATGTTAATTCTGGCCTCTTTGCCCACCTCCAACTTTTCCCAAAATTTTCGGTGGGCTGAATGCTTTTCGCTACAGACAGAGGAACAAATGGTCATGTCCTTGCACTAAAATTTGTATGAGGTTGACCACCAAAATTTTGAGATACACAAACTTGAAGAAGCATACTAAAAACATGTAACTAGTTGCCGTACATATCGCCGTAGCTAACGTTCCCTCTTATCCTTCCGCCTCAAAATCATGAATATTTACCAAAACCTGGCAGAAAATGTTAATTCAAACCCTCTTCGTCCATTCTAGACCAAAAAATCAACAAAAATGGGCATGCAAAAGGGGAGAAAGAGAGAGAGAGAGAATTGCTATAAATAGACGAACTACCGAGATGGTGAAATTTAATGGTGGTCTGCGTCCTATGATATGCCAATATCGAAAGGAATATAAACTTTTATTTTATGATCAGTAGTGGAATACCGCGTTTTATCAGTGAAATAAAAGTGTTATTACACTGGCTAAAGTTGTCCATGTTGTTTTTTCCCTAAAATGATTGTAAAATCATAAAATAAATAGAACATTTGTCGTTTTGTCGTGAATAACATATGTTATTCACTCTAAATCGACAAATATCCTCTATATGTTTCAAGTGTCGAGATGGGGGGTGGGGGGGGGTGGAGTAACATACACTCGACACAAACTAGGTTATTTCGGGATTAACATACGATTTAATATTTTTATTGTTTTTATTCAGTAATTCGCTTGCGCGTGTTCTTTAGCAGTACGGGGAAACCGTAGGACTCGGAGAAAACCCACGAGGTAAGACAGGCGACCCTGCTCCTTGTCACGTGTAACCGGGGAATCGAAACCACGACAGTTGATACAATGACATACCTTATGATAGAACGAGCACGCGCTATTCGGTCATCCATCCCCGCTCAAGATCAAAATATGAAGGGAGGGACGATGGACATGGGCATAACTACAGTATACGTCCAAATGACAATGTGGGCGGAAATCAGGATAGGCCCGACGGGAGCAATTATTCATGGGGGGGTGGGGCTAAGACGTACTATACTGGGGGTCTAGATTGTCGGAGACGCATAGCGATTTCTGGCTAATACTTACTCAGCAGTGAGCTTAATATTTCCAGAAACCTAGTCTACCCGCGCTCGTAATTACAAATGGTACCCTGCCCTTTTCTGGGGTAAACATGTATACCCATGCCCTAATGATGAACGTTTTGAACCTTTTTAAACCTATATATTCATTTTTAAGTGTTAGATGTAGCTCTCTGGTCGGTCGCGAACCGGCTCTCGCACGCTCATTATCAGCTATCTATCCGTGCATGCCTTGGGTTTTATGTTGGAATTTGGAATGCTAGAGGCGCTCTAAACAGCGTTCTCGGAATTGACAAGTTTCAAAATTTTCTATAGGCCGGGGGGGGGGGGGGTGCCAACCCCCAACATCATTTGGTACCTAAACCCTCACGCCGTTCCGGCGCTTCTGAAAGAAGTCACACTAATTTATCGGCAGCTTTTTGAAAGAATTTCCCATTCACTTCTATATTTAAAAAATCGGGTCTCGTCCTCTTACATCATTGTCATTACATATCTAACCGAATAGGAATTGCATGCAATAACCTTCAGAAGGGGGGAACTTGCGGCTAAATTATTGTCAAACGGCGACGCGACTCGCGAGGGATCAAATTGAATCGAAAGTAGAACTATCAAAGTTCAATCCGTCTGTCTCTGTCACGTGGGTTAGCTGTTCCAATAACTGCACTTACAAAGGTGTATTGGGTGGACGTACTGGTCGAATATTTCATTAAGGTAAAGCAACAATATATTTAGGTCTTATGAAATTGATTAATTCAAGCGTGCAATATGTTCACAGTTAAATTAAAACTGTTCTGAGACAGGTATTCCAACGAGGGAGTGAACTCAATAGCGTTAATTGCGTAATTTAGCACGACCTCGCCCAGAAGTTGTCAAACGGGAGTATTACTAGTTTGTATACGCTCAAAGGAAAAGATAAAAGGAATAAGAAGCTGTACTGACATTTCAATAGTAAGTTGGGTTAATAATAATGATGGGTCTCGCGGTTTTTAAGAACACACTGAATGCTCTGGTTCACATTTGGTACATTACAAAATGTATACAAACTCCTGTTTTATAGCTCCGCCATTGCATCGACAGAGAAAATAGGACTGACACGAATGTGATTGGCTGCGTTATTATATTTACCTTCTGTAATTTACCTAGCAGACGACACAACTAATGGGTTTTAATGTTAATTTTTCCTATGCAGTTTTTGTCATTTTCATGGAAAATAAATTTTAAAAGTTTAAAGAAATAACTAGGGCCAGGATAATAGGATAGAAAGTTTTAAAAAAAGTAGGGTAACGTACCAACTAAACAAGACAAGCATGGAATTTTTAAGTTACATGATCATGACATTTAGCATTTCGGGGGCTAAGTAAAGGGGCCACACTGATGCACTTTTCTTCAGGGATAGACAATTTTCAGTGCCCCTGGGAGTTTTTGCACCCTCTCTCAAATGCCAATGGAAAAAATTATGTGGTTTCTCCACAGTTTTCAACACTTTGCAGATACTGGTGTTGCATTTCACAATCATGTTGCTCAACCAGAGGTGGCTCTAGAATGTTCCACACTGGACAACATTTATTACAGAGACCCCCCCCCCCACCCCCCATAGTTCGGATACGTTTCAATACAATCAACACAATTGCTACGACTGGCCTCAATATATGCTAAATCCTAAGACCTAATAGGAACATCACGATTACTCCACAATTAAAACCACAATTTCAATCGCAGCACGAATCGTGATAGTGGGAATCTAGCATTAAATTTAAAGAAGCAGCATTACTTTCAACATGAAGATAATAGAAATAATTTTTTAATGTTGTAGAATGGTTGTTGGGGAGTATTTCTAAACCCCACCCCTCTTTCCAAAGAATACAAACAATGACATCACAAGGAGTGTAACCTTGTGGGTTTTCTCCTGGTACTCTTGACATCCTCCCACTTCTTAAGTCAAAAGTCCTAATTTTGCACAAGCGTGCAAATGAACTATGGGAGAACATGTTGTCAAATACAAACAATATCGAAATGAAATTTTATAAGTTTGAGTTATTGAATCTCTTTCATCATGGTATGATTCCAAAAGTCAACAGTTAGTCAGCTATTACCCCATAATTATCGACGTCAGTTTAATGCAGTACAGTATAGCTCAGTATTGATGTGCCAGAATATGCTATTTTATTTGTCATTTTGGTTGTCATTTTGTCTTTATGGACATTGAAGTTGATGGGGTTTAAGTATGTAAATCAAATAACAAAATGTGATGACATACGTGTAGCCAATTTACCAAATCTATGTGTGACATCTCCTTTAAACTATGGTCTTTTTATATAACATTATCACAATATATTTTGAGGGTATTAACATGATTTCGTTTCTTTTTTCCCTCCCCCTATTAAAAGTAGAAGTTGCCTTCCTGACCTCCAGGGGTTTTCTCAGTTCCCCTTTTTCAATTGTGCAAAAGTGACATAAAAATGATACTATACATGTAGCTCTCAAAGGCAAGTCAACAATGACTTGATCAGTTCTAGCTTCGGGCAGTGAAGATCATAAAAAATAAGTATACTGTAAAGGTGACATTGATAGTTAATTGATCTATAAATTGTCCCTTGGTATCTGATAACAGGTAGCTTAAAATAATTTGGATTCTATGTATGTACATGTACGTAGACACAAAACCATTAAACGTACTTCCTTGTTGATTTATGCAAACATTGAGATAAGCCTTTAAAATATCACTACTTTATTGCAATTTAAAATATTATTTCTTTTATTATATCATATATGTAGATCTATGACATTGTAGTATAGATTATATGGGCATGTCATGTAAATAAATGTCTATTTAATAATTTATATAATATTTGAAGACCATCAAAAAGCAGATTTAGTTCTTACACAATGCATCTTTAAATTCTTTAATATTTATGAATTTTTTTCAGGCAGCTGGGTAGATTATGCCTGGTATCACCCCGCGGGATATGAATGGGTATGATTATGATCGTGGACCAAGAGGACCTGTAATGGCTAAGTAAGTATTTCTAGTGACATATAACTATGACTATCTGATTATAAAAACTGAGGACTAGCCAAAGAACGAAGCATCATATTTTAATTGCAAGAATTCATATTCAACGATGAGTAATTGAAGACTCCCCATGCTAGAGGGCTGATTATCAAGACTATCATATAATGATTGATTTCAACTACATTAGAGAACAGACCGGTCAATTTTCATGAAAAATAATCAACGTTTTTTTGATTGTCACATGTACTGTATATTTTGTTTTTACAGTGGATATGACCCTTACAGAGACGAGTATCAGAGGTAAGTAAATTAACAAGTTACTCATCTTCATTTTATAATATTGTAATTAATCCAGAACCTCATTAGGGCAATTCCATGGTAATGGACGTACATTTTGAACTCGCCATATTTTTATAACTTCCAATATTTTCTAACCATGAATAATTAACTGTTTGAGTTTTATATAGCATTAAAGAGATATGATTTAAGTATCAATTGACATATAATTTAATTTGTTCATGAACACTGGAAATAAATATTGGCTCCTCAAAGTATAGGTAACGGACGTACAGAAATGAACATAGTTTCAAAACTCTGTGAATTGTCTTGTGGAATTTAAAAGTTTTAATCCTTTTAAGAAAGGGCACTAATACTACATGTGTACTGTATAATCACTTCTCACATTTGGATTCTTGTAACCCAGTAAATTCTAAAATTATTGTGGTAACGGACGTACATATTTTCTGGTAATGGACGTACGAGTGCAAATTGCTAACCCATAACATGAGATATGTAAACTTTCAAATAATCGGACTTATAGATAATAATAATAGTTAACTCATTTGAATTAATGGAGCAGTTACTTTCCTAAAAACATTACTCCTTGAATGAAATATTGTGACCCTAAAAATTTGGGTAAAGGACATACATTTTTACCCTAAAATTTTGGTAACGGACGTACATACATCTATGAAATCCTAAGAAATTCAGAGAATTTTGGCAAATGATTTCTTTTTACGGTCATAGTAACAAGAATGAGTGATGTTAACTTTAAATATGAGTTTTTGAACAGTTCCATAAATAAATATGAATGAGAGAGATAAAATGGAAATATTTGGTAACATGAAATACTGTGAAAAGTAACGGACGTACATCTATGGAAACCAAAGTTATTCTGAGAATTTTTGCAAATCTTTTCTTTTTACGGTCATTATAGTAAGAATGAGTTATTCTAGCTTTAGATATGAAGTTTTAAATAATTCTTTATAAAAATATGAATGAGAGAGAAAAAAATGTAAATATTTGGTAACTGACGTACATTCTCATAGTGATATTTTTCAATGTTGGTTACCTTCACAAAAATATATTATTTTTATATTTTAATGTTTAAATATTATGTTTATATACATTGTCAGATAACTAATGCCAAATCATTCATTATGAGTCAAACAAACACAAAGTAAGAAAATACAATAGAATTATAAATTCGACATTTGCAACGTAAACCTTGACACAAGACCAAATAAAAAAAAAATCGGAAGAGTCTCCACCCAAATTGAGATTTTTCTTCAAAACATGGATTATTTCCCACCATAAGACACTATTTTTGTCCACTTAGCAACTAATTAAATTTTTCACCTAATTGTATACTTTAGCGTGGAATTGCCCATTAAAACAGTTTGTCTTAAAAAAAGCATTTGCTTTTAGTTGTGTACAGTAATTGTCATGTCAAAAATTGACATTTACACAACTATATATACTGAGACATAATGAATATTGGCCACTGATTTGACTGGAGAGTGGAAGTGCTTGTGAAATTGAAATGTGATTTTGGCTACACATTTAATGACAAAACAAAATCATCAACCCACACAGGCCATACCTTTAATTCGCAGTGAAATGTAGGCAAACGGGAGAGATCTGGAGAGAAGTGGCCATTTAAGCACTGCCATGTTTTAGTTCATGGAGATACATTTTGTATGCACTCCAGCCTATTGTGCAGATCTTGGTAACATCTGAAAATGTCTTTGATTAAATTAGAAAATACAGTACATGTTCAAATAAAATATTGACAAACTCTTCTTACGATCCTCACAGTTGACATTTTATATTATCCATATGTAATTGTATAAATATATGTATAGGTTCAGTGAGTGAAATATGATACCAACAATAGTGTATTAAAGGGACATCTATTTTCATCTACTGTTACTGACATGTTCATCTATACAAATATACACTGTGTATATAGTAGGTCACAAAATTGTATCTACTTTGACCGGTCATGTGATTGAAAGATTTGTCTATATGAATTTACTATAAAATAATGTAACTAAGAATTAGTGGTAGATTTATTAGATAATCTAGGATATGTACAAGTATCTAATGTATCTGATGCAATTCTTCCTTTGAATAATTTGATTTTTATACACCCACAAGCCTATTGAATTTAAACATTTTCCGTTAATTACATCTAGAGTTATGGACATTCTTCACATAGTAGAATCTTGGGAATTCTATAGCAACAAAAGTTACCATAGTATCTGTGTGAAATTGATATGCATTGTTCAGATTAGTGAACAATTTCTGTCAATGACTTTTGTTTGTCATTCGCTTTCTTCGAAAGGTAAGAGGCAATTAAAATGGGTCTGTTTTAATCTGTCTGTCTGATGTTTTGAGGCACAAAAACTCTGCTTTTGATTGAGCTAGAATGTTCAAATTTAATTTAGTAGTTCAAATTAAACATACATTATGCAAGAGCTAAATCTGCCTATTGCAGGTCTTTCTTTAGGCCTGAAATGTTTTCTAAATTATTAATTAGACATTAATTAACTGATCCAGGCCATAATCAACTCTCAATGGCATCGGATTTCTCCGATATTAAATAAATTAGAACAGTTCAGCCATATTTCAATTTAATTTAAAAATGGAGGAGCAAGACTTGGCTTCGAACAACCAGTACGGTGGTTGCAATTATTGCTCCCGTTTTGTCAAACCTTCAAAGGCTAATATCTTCGCTCGCAATAGAGTAATTGGAATGAAATTTTTAAATTATTCATTTTACATTATCTATTTTCGAACTATTATAGCAAGAATGACTAGCTCTTTATCTAAATCTTACATAATGTATCTTTAAGGTGAATGCACTGGCTGAGTTTGATGATGAGCATTTTCTGCTTAGGTTAAGCAAGGATAAGCAATTCCATTTGTGATGACAAATTGAAGTAGAATGTTCGAACATGGTGTGGGTGTGTTCAAGTGGTCTAATTTGGTACGCTTTAGATCATCAGGTCTGTCATTGAGCCCAGAAAAGAAATAAGGTCACCTTCCCAACATCATTGTTGTTTTCCGGGTCCTCTGACATTTTTGGAATAGCCTGGCTGTGTGGGAGGTGGAATCCAGTGGATTTTCAGAGTTCTACCCCATTTTAACAAAACTTTGTTAAATCTATCTTGACTACAAGTATCATCTAGTCATTTTGAAATTTGTTTAGGTTGCCTGGCTATGTAAGAGGAAAAGGCTTATAGATTTTCCATGATTACCAACTTTAACTTTTGGGTTTATGCCCCTTCTTCACTAAACCTTGTTATCTCTATAGATGTTACAATTATCAGCTGACTTTTATACGCCTACATCACACATGGGAGTATATTGTCGTCATCCCTGTGCATCTGTCAGTCAGTCCAATAAACATTCGATCCCCGTTTCCTTTATTTGATCTCATAATAGAATTTTGTGCTAGTTTCCATTTTGACCCTGGTGTATATTTTGTTGCTTGGCCTCCATTATTTTTTATAGTTAAATTGTTGGTGTCTTGGATAATTTCTCTCTTTCCAATATAATCATGCTTAAAATAGTGAAATAGGTAGGGTTTTTGGTTAATTCTCTCTTCTATAATTATGAATAAAACTGGATTTAATGTAGTTATAACATTTTCATAAAACTTAAATGAAATATAACCAAGGCCTTGATAAATGCTTAAAATGACCCAAATTCTTGAAAGTATTGCTTAAAAAGATAATTCATGGAAACCACCCAAGTGTTACAAGGGTGTGTATTGGTGGAGTCTATATGATCTGTTCTTTCATTGTATTGATATTAGGGCTTTCTGACTAACGACTGATATTGTTACCTACAGGTTAATGAGCATGTAAACTTCCCACATTACGTCTGTATGCTGTTTAGTTCTGTTTGATCATTTTGTTGGTGTCTGTTGTTGAATATTGTGAACAATTCTAGTGGTTGTTTTGACAAGTGAAATTGAAGGAGTATAGCTTCAGACTCATGATAGATTTTCCTAAGTATACCATGGTTGGGAATAACATCTTTTATAATTATCAATATAGGGAGGACCCATATCGAAGAGATGATGAAGATATTTACCGTGGGCAGGGTCGACTTGGACGATTTGGAGGTGATTACATGGGTAAGTTTTTTAATATTTCCTTAATAAATTATGATGTGTTCATGCATCACATTCCTTTACAAGGTGTGACATGACTTAAGGATAATAGGTGTGTATTATTACCTTATCATCATGTAAGTACCGGTGTATAGATATATTATATCAACTGTATTATGTCTTAATAGTAAGTTTACATCAATCTTCAACTCACCAACTATTGCTTGATTAGTTTAACTCATAAATTTCTTTTATTTGCTCTTAGACCAAGCTAAAATTTCAAGGGTTTACAAATAAATGTGACTATCATTAAATCTTTATGAGGAATTACTAATAAACTAATCCTATGGCATATTATTGACAAGAAAAAAAATAAAAGAATTAAAGTATGGAAAATATTATAATTGATTACCAACATTAAGTGATTATAAATTTATAGGACAACCGATTGTACATGTACTTTATGTTTATCTTGTAATTTTCAAGTCATACATACATGTAGGTACATGTAGATGACAAGATGTTAAAGATTTGTTTTAAATTCTGGCTCTTTGATCCATTTTAACTCAAAGTGTTGATTAGATTAGATTGTGTTGGGTTTCAACATCAACTGCAATTTTTTGTCAGTAAATCAAGCACAATTATGAAGTCATTGTATTTGCTGACCCAAAATTAACAGACTAAACAATTCACCAAGGCAGGTCATTTCTTAAGTTGTGGAGAGGGGGATGTGTTGGTGCACAGAAATATAACCCTTTCTTTTGGAAATTATATGTTAGATTCAACCTAATAGTGAAAAAAATAAAAGCCAAATCTGTCCCATACATGTATCTGCATAAAATTAATGGGACATGTTATCTCATACATATTTCTAATGTTAACCAAATTGCAGGATTTATCTGGCTTTGAGAAAATAAAAATTTTGTTGAAACTTGAAATGTAAGTTTATAACCCAAAGATCTTGGTTCCTTTCGATATTCGCGCATATCAGACCGTAACTTCCTGAATTATGGCCCCTGATTGTACGAAAAATCGCGTTTTTAGCTTGTGGACCCTATAGAGGTCATAATTTTTATCCGATTTAAAAACCCGTATTATTTTATCACCGTTATACCCTAAGGACGGCTGAGTTCGAGTTTCGTGAAAATTGGCCCAAAATGGCCGGCGTTCGTTCTCAAATAGCGTAAAAATATGGTATATCAAGGTTGTGGACCCTATAGAGGTCACAATTTTTATCCGATTTTGTTGAAACTTGAAATGTAAGTTTATATTACAAAGATCTCAGTTCCTTTCGATATTCGCGCATATTGAATTGTAATTTCCTGAATTATGGCCCTTGATAGTAGGAAAAATCACTTTCTTGTTAGCTTGTTCTCTATCCATCTCTTGAAAATGTGGGCTTATCCTGCCTGGCAGCCGCTGGTTAGTAACTTCTTCACATTAATTTGTGGGAAAACTGTACTCCATTTGCACATGCATGATTTAATGTGGTTTAATGATTAGTTGGCTTAGAAAAATAGCTCATCCAGGATTTTTGAGTTGTAATCTGAAGATCACAGATGCAAGGGTATTATCTTGAATATGCATGATTTAATACATGTTTATATGAATAAAAATAATTGAATCTGTAGAGATCAAATTTTTTAGAGAGAAACACAATAATTGTTTTATAAGATGCTGGATTGTTGTTTATCAATAGCTGTAGGTCTGTATATATTAACACATGTACAATAAACCTCCATTGATAACACAATTTGTAGTATTTATGAAGTAAAATAATCAGAGCATGGACTGGGTATTAACATTAAAATCTCCGCATTCTCATCAGACAATAAAGCTGTAAAGCTTGAGAGCTAGGCTGCTATGCTTATTTTTTCACTGACCAGGATTTGGTTGATAAAAACACAGATCTAGAGTGACCAAATTCCTTGAATACCTCAGTTACACCTTCAACTTATATGTAGGACAAAGATTAATATATTTTCTCTGTTTCTGACGTTAAAAGGGTGTTTTATTGAAATAACTTTACTGAAATTAAAGTAAGTTTGTTTTACCTCTGCATCTAAATATATAATTTCCTTCTTAAATTTTTGTCATCAAGCTGTTTGTTTGACAGGTGACAATTTTTGATTTACTATAATGTGATCCGTCACACAGCCATTTAATGGGGTCAGTTTGACACTGGTTAGAAATCTTACGGAAGATTCCTATTTTTATACGTTCACATTTCTATGTGGATGTATATTGTCGTCACATCCAGATGTCCGTCCGTCCACAATTGTTTGTAGACAATCTACAGGTCACAATTCTTATCCGATTTTGACGAAACTTGAAATATAGGTTTATTTCTAACAGATCTCTGTTCCTTTTGATATTGGCAAGTATCAGATCGAAACTTCATGGATTATGGGCCCTGATTGTACGAAAAATTACGTTTTTAGTTTGTGGTCACTCTAAGAGGTCACAATTTGTATTCAGTTTTGAATAACGTTTAAATATATCACTGTTACACATAAGTGAAGGTTGCCGGACCAAATGGCTGCTCCTTGTACGCAAATAGTGTAAAAGTATATAATACCAAGGTTGTGGACACTTTATATATAGAAGTCACAATTATGGCCCCTGATGATCATGTTTTTAGATTGTGGACCCTCTAGAGGTCATGATTTTTATCCGATTTTGAAAATGTTTAAATTGATCACCATTACACCCTAATGACAGTTGAGTTCGAATTTCGTGAAAATCGGACTGAAACTGCCTGACAAAATGGCCGCTCTTTGTGCGCAAATAGTGTAAAAGTATGTGATATCAAGGTTGTGGTCTCTCTAGACGTCACAATTTTTATCCGATTTTGATGAAACTTAAAATATAACTTTATATCCCAAATATCTCAGTCCATTTTGATATTTGCTCATTTCAGACCATAACTTTCTGGATTATAGGCCCCCGATTGCACGAAATATTGCTCTTTTTTTTTAGCTTGTTCTCTATCCTTCTCTAGCAAAATATGGACGTATCTTGCCTGGCAACTGCTGTTTTTTTAAGGTCATCCAGTATTTTTCCAGTAAGATTGAGTGTCTCTACTTTCCATCTATACCGAATATGCTATAATTTTATTTGAAATAACTACCCTATAAATGCTTTCACGGGATTTATCTTTAAAAATATTTTTACTGGGACGATCTCACTATAGAAACAAGACTTGTTCTGATAGATTTCACTACCTTTTGGTGAAAAATAAACACAGAAGGAACTATCAAAATCTCTTAAGGCAGTATTTAGCTTTACTATACTTCTTCAATCATTGTTCGTGATAAATATGCATCCTTGCACAAGAATTGTAAATATAACATGAACATAAAAATAGGCTATATAATGGAAAGGTAGTCATTAAGAAAAAATAAAAACATAATGTGTCACTGTCACATGGATGTGTTCATTGAGTTGAAAAAATACAAAGCAACCTTTTAGTATTTGTCTGTCTAGTTTGTATAAGTAATATACATTTTAGATGATAGTATTGTTAATAAAACAGTGAATCAGTGTAATATATGTTATGTACTTCATGTCTACATATATATGTCATATAGGGAGGAAACACCCAGCTTTTTATACCTGTGTTCTAAATATAGATCAATATATAAAGATGAACACCTTTTATAATCATTATATCCTAGTACATCTAGGTTACAACAATATGACAACCGTGTTGAAATCTGTTATTGAATCAAATTTAAAAATGACTTGGTTTTTTTATGAAGAATGGAGAAGATGACCTGCCCTCACGACAGAGAATTTGAACACTGTTTTAAAGTGACATTTGGATATGCAAGAACTTTTTTTTTTATTTTTCTACCAATTTTTTTATTTTTTTTATTACTCCTTATGTTAATAATTTAATTAAATCAACCTGTCCATAATATCATGTATTATATATTTGACAATAAATTTGTAATAAACAACAAGAAAATAGTGTAAACAAACTGATATTCCCTAAAGGAGATCGTTGAAACTTGACATGAAATTTCTGTAAAAAAATGAACTAAGCTTATTTCAACACATTGGAGTATGGTACCTGTATTTAAGCACATAACTAGTAGAAATAAATGTGTTGTAGAAGATTTAAATCAGTCTTCTATTTTACCTATCACTTTTTTTTTTGGTAAACGTGAGAATATTATTTTTATACACCTGGGCCCTTATTCACGAAAACTTAAACTAAGATACAATCGAAATTTTAAGAAATACTGCAATTCGATTGGCTGACCAATATGCAAATTGGATATATGCAAATTGATTTTACTGGTCAGCCAATCGAATTGCAGTATTTCTTAAAATTTCAATTGTATCTTAGTTTAAGTTTTCGTGAATAAAGTCCCTGCACTAAAATATGGCTGTATAATTTGATATATAAATCGATATGGGCAGACACTATAATTGATATCTGTTAATAGATTTTTTGTGCAATCAGTTTTTTTAAAAGGTTAATTTGTGAAATGAAATGAAATGAAACAGGGTTTAACGTCCTACTAGAATAATTTGTACCCAGTTCCTATATGGATAGTCCAGTCTGTACCTAAGCATTTCAAATATATGAAAGGCCCACATTTTTATAAACCCACATTGAAATGTAATCATAAATTGTTGTCACCTCTGTCCGTCGGAGTCCGTCCCAATGTCCACACTTGTTTGTCAACATTCTAGTGGCTAAAGTTATTATCCGATTAAAGATACATTATGGAAGATTACATAAAGAGCTGTAAAAATATGGTATATCAAGGTTGTGGACCCTCTAGAGGCCACAATTTTGATCCGATTTTGGTGAAATGTGAAAAGTTTGTTTATATCTCAAAGATCTTGGGTCCTTTCGATATTTGTGCCTATCAGACTGTTACTTCATGGATTATGGCCCCTAAATTGTACGGAAAATCTAGAGGTCACAATTTTTATCTGATTTAAATAACTGTTTAAATATATCACCGTTACAGACTAATGATGGTTGAGTACAAATCTCGTAAAAATCGGACGTTAACTGCTTGACAAAATAGCTGCTACTTGTATGTAAATAGTGTAAAAGTATGTAATACCAAGGTTGTGGACCCACTAAAAGTCACAGTTTTTATCTGATCTTGATGAAACTTAAAACGTATGTTTATATCCAAAACTTTGTTTTTGTATACCAATAATCTGTCATAATTTTCCCACAAAACCCTGAGTGCGTTTAGTTTTATGTGAATAAGACTTGCCAAACAATTTCTTCAAACCTTTTTTTTCATTGTCTAAAATATTACAATTGAACAAGTGCGTCATTCGTTTCAGTTAACTCTTTGGTTAAACCTTCTATTGTAACTATCGTCTTTGAATTAATTCATTCATAATGTACGTATGATTTTCTATTTGAAGCTGATTGGGAGTGGCCTTCCCATCCTATTCCACTATTCGATCTATAAATATAAACATGCAGAAGATGCTGTTTTAAAAAAATTACCAGATCTTGCACATACATGTATTTTTTGAACACACCTTAACTAAACACATGTAGAGCTCATTGATGCGACGAAATCTCAGTTTTATTTCAATTCATTGTGGGTTAAAGTCATACCAGTATAGATAGAGATCATGATAGTGGATTCTGGTAGGATTATGACAAGTTTTTATTTGTGTTTACCATTATATGTGGATTAATAGTATTATAGGATAGAATTCATATCAGTAAATATCAGTGTTGCTTAAACAGATATGTTATTTTGAAAAACAAATTAGCCAAGATACATGTATGATATAGTAGCCTGTAGCTCAACCACGGTTTCATAATTAGTCACATTAGTTTATATAATGTTTTTTTTAAGAGGTTTAATCTTTTAATCACCCTCAGAACAAAGTGGGGATATTGAAGTGAGTCCAGCCCTTCCATCACATAAACTGTTCAAGATAACTTCATGAAACTTTGTACACGCATCAATGTAGTATAGTAATTGCTCCTTTTGCTAATTAGAAATTTTTCAGATGTGGTCATTTTTGTATGTTCATGGACTCAATTTTGACTTGGTATATACATGTAAGGGCACAGGACCTTGATGTCTGGGTCTTATGTACAGGTCACTAGCATCAAATCGTGTTCATTATCAATATATTTTAGAAGACAACCGTTTATAGTCTTGTAGTGTGCCTTGGTATATTTAATGATCATTTCTATAAATACTGGAACAAGAACCTTAAAATTTTTGAATAATTTCTAATATTTTCACGTATTATTTTACCCTGACACTGCCAACAAGGAATTGAATCTTGAGTAAAACTTTACTCAAGCAATTTAGTTTAACTAAATATATATGTATTTTTAACACTTATCTGTATCTTAAAAACATTTTCTAGATCAGAGTAGTGTTGCGGATATGAGGAATTCTGGGGAACCAACTTTTGAGTTGGATCATCTAGCAACTTTTGCTGCAGCCACAAGAGAAGGTACGTAGCATATCAAAAAAACAAAACAATTTAATTAGCACAAAGAATCAACTTTATAGTGAATTAGAACTACATGGTCATTAATAATAAAAAAAAAATAATAAAGTACATCCCTTGTCATTTTGTTTGCAATTTATATCAACCACAATAAAATATTATTTTGGTGATTGAATTAATCTAACATCATCCTATAGAGACTGAAATAGCCTATATTTCATTAATGTATTAAAACAACAGTTGTCTTTTAAAGAGACGGTTTATGTTTACATGGATAGATGAATAATTGATTAACAATTTAATTACAGGTTATATACAACCTGAAGATGGATTACGTAAATTGCGACAAATGGAAAACACTACTGGAATCTGGACTATGAGATGTCAGTTGACTATTGAAAGAAGATATCTAGTTATTTTGGACAACCAGACAGGGGTAAATATTTGTTTCTACTACATGCAGATCTCTTTAGCTTAAAGTAGAATATTAAAGGAACTTGTCTATGCTGTCACTTAATATGAACACCAAAATGTGTCTTGTTCATGAACAAATATTCAAATGTACAATTATTAGGGTATCTTTAATCAAAGATGTATGAAAATAGAAGTGGTTTTCCGCCCATAATCTGTTTTAATAATAGTGTATAAACACATGTTATGTAAAAAATTCATTAAATATTGATGGCCAAGTAAAAATAAAACAATAGGTATTGTCATGGACCTTAGACCTTATATTAGGTATTAAAATTTCATTTTAAGACTGTATATCAGACTAAATCTGAAAACAAATTTTGAAGCTGTAAGAAAAAACACTCATTTCCATTTTATTCAGTGCCAATTTAAATATGGGTGGTTTAAATTGTTTAAAGAGTATTGTATTGAGAAACTGATTAAACACAAGGATTGAGGAACTTGTTAAAAGATTAACTATCTTTATCTACTGATCCCTTAGTTAAATACAATGGTTGGCTCGAACATCTACTAGCCACCAGGTTTTTATATCCTTACAGTCTGCTCAAATCCGCTGTGACAGATCATATAAATACCTTTGTGGTGAAAGGAAGCATTATTTTATTGAAAAGAAGCCAGTCTTACTGGACGTGAACTGATTGTCAGCGTTCTTTCTGTCCTCCGATGTTTAAATAAAAAAGATAATTTGTTTCATAAGTAATCAGACTTCCTTAATATATGTTCTGGAATTAAATGCACGAGAGAAACCTTCAACAAATTGGATGTAATATGAATGTAATATGCATTACCTTTGTGACAAGCTCTGAAGAACATTTACAACCAGAGAAAAGGATTACTGGGGTACTCTAGTAAAACTGCTTCGGATACTTCTGGATCAGATATGTTTTTTGTTTCCCAATTTTGCTCAATTCATGAAATGTAGGTATATCTAATTCTATCATTTATATTGTGTTCCTGTATTGTTTGTGCTATCTGTATCATGCGGTACAATTATGCAGCATTTTGTATTAGACTGGTATGACTCGCACTACAAAATCTAATTAATTTTTCCTATTCCTTTATTTTAGGAACAGCTAGAGAAATTTCCAATCCAGTCAGTACATTCCCCTACAGCTATATTCAACAAAGACAGACGAGAAATATACAACAATCTCGTATTATTTACTGTTGGTGAAGATCCCAAAAAACGTACCCAAGCTGATATGCACATATTTCAAAGTGTTGATACTGCTGTAAGTATTATAGTATTAGTTAGCCTGCCGTAGGGCGAAAACTGACTGTCAAAACAACTGATTTATACCTTTTTATATGCCCACATTCCAGTAATTAGTGCCGAAGTTAGTGCCCTTGATCACTTTGAAAAATCTTGTGGCCACTCTACAGGGTAAATTTACTATCAGATAGACTTTAAATTTATACACAGTGTTTACGAGACGACGAAACCTATTGATTTCCGATAATTACTGCCAGAGTTTTGTCGCTTGAATACTTGAGAAATCTTGTGGTTGCAGTAACGGCTAAAGCTGATATAAATTTGTACACAGTCTTTAAGGTCATAAGACAAAATATTGTGTTGTAAATGTTTTAATTAGTGACAAAAGAAAAACATGCGGCAACCCTTGTGGACTGCCCGGAGTTCTGAGCTGCTGTGGGTGTATGTTTTGTTGGCTGGTAACCTATTTTTTAAAAAATTTCCTACAAAGAAAGAATGTTTAACACAAATGGCTAACATGGTTTACGCAAACATATGGTCACAAAATGACGATGTCAAACTGTAAATTAGCAAAATGTTTGGCAAAATGCCATTTCTATACCATGAGATCACTAGCAAAATACTGATTGGATGTTTGTATAAAATGTTTTGCTCTTTGCTGAAATTCAACGCAAGTTAGACCAACACGAACATTTGGTTGCCGAACAATGTTTTTGAAATCTCTATAAGTTTGATCTCGTGAAAGTTGTTCGACCAACAATTATTAGTGTTGAAATCCAACCCACAACACCTAACATGTCAAAATATTGTTTGGCCAAGAAATGTTTGGCAGTCTGCAGTCACGAAGATTGCTTTACTCTCGTTTCATACCCCCACATTGAAATATGGTTGTATATTGTTGTCTTTCCCGACCGTCAGTCCGGTGTCTGCAATTGCTTGTTTTATCTACAGTGGACTCATTTTTCTCAAATTGATAATCTGACGTTCTATGTCCAGGTCGTCGTCACACGGTTCTGATAGATCTGTAGGGGGAACAACCTTAGGTATTCAGGTTCAATCGGCATGCACAACAAATGTTTCCAACAGGTGCTAGGAATATTTTTACGACTGTGAATAATTTGTGAGAAAATTTGTGGGTATTCTTGAGTATTTGTCTTACAAGAGATTACAAAATTATCAAAGTAATCAACAAAGACCTACGCGAGCGAGTATCTCACCAATACTTGATTGGTGATTGCTTGTTAATCTTTTGTGGCTTCACACCCACCGATTGAAGGCTGGATTATACAGTGTTGATTCAATGGAAATCATGTGATGGGACGACTGATTGATGTCGTAATTCGGAATATTCAGATAATTTTTTGGCTGAAATAATTAGGAAGTAAATCGGGACATGAAAATGATGTCGGCTTTCACAGAGTGCCGGAGTATTCAGAGGTCGGATGTGACAGTCCACTATATTTTAAAATTTAACTGAAATAAATTGATGCAGTAGTTGCTGAGAAAAATGCATTTTTGTGCTCCATCATTTATGCTAATTACTAAGGGTGTGTGGCATTTGACCTCAGTGTCCGAATGACAAAAAGTAAAACTGTTGCTTCCGATGTTCTCCTCTTACCAGGACATTCCTTAGTAACTTATTTGTATTAATATTGGTGTGGTTCAGTAAATCTGTGTAATAACATATATATTTAGTGTTCAATTCAATAAAATCAAATTAAAATTAACACATATTTATTTACTTTTTATCTTTAAACACAATTCCGAGAGGTTGTGCTCCTTTTAAATTTTTAAATGTAATTGTCTAATTTGCATGACAAATAATTCATATCTAATTTAATGTCTTTTTAACAGGCACAAAATATAGTGGATGAAATATTAGTAGCTCAAAAGGGAGGTCAAAGAGGTTCATATCAAAGGTAAGAGACTCAAACTATTTTAAACCTCTGATCGTCATTTGAGAGATTTTTGATCCATTACAGACTAAAGTATTGTGGTTTCGATTCCCCACTTGTAAGTGACAAAGAGTAGAGTCGCCTGTCAAACCTCATGGGTTTTCTCTGGTTCCTCCGGTTTCCTGCCACTGCTAAAGACCCCTATATGCAAGCGAAGTATTGAAATAAAATTAAACCATATGTTAATCCCAAAATGACCTAGTTTGTGTCAAGTGGGTGTTAAACCCCCCCTCTCTCTCTCCCCTCCCTCTCTCCCCTGTTCTTCATGTGTGTTATATAATGAAAGGATAAATGGTACTAGAAAAATACTTATTGTGTTCTAAAGTTTTAGTCTTGAAATTCTAATTGTATGGCATATAAAGTTGACTGACGGGTAAGTTTGCCAGGCAGTCAATTTTCCTGACAAATAGGACTGAAACTGAACAATTAACATACATTCCAAATCCATCATACATATTTTTGACACATATGACTAATATGAGTCTATTTTATCATGTTATGCAATTTTTAGATGCTGAATTAATTGTCTTTTTCTGAAAAAATTGATGTGGGTTGGTGGAATGTCCTTATTCACTACTTTATATTACACGATGATTCTCAGGGATGTTGGATATCCTGTTGTCAAATCATTACTATTTACACCATGCTATAAATAAATTATAAGTTAGATGTATATTGTTGGTAATGTTTTATCTACGCTCGTATTTATTTCAATTAACAAATGATAAAGAATAGTGTGTTTTATCTAAGTAATTTTAATTACTTAGATAAAACATACAGATAAACAATGTATTGTAAATTTACTCAGAAGAATTATATTACTCATGGAAAATGTTTGTCGGTCTGGTTTCCACAATGGCTTGTGGACGCTCTAAAGGCTACAATTGATATCCAATTGACTTTAAATTTATACGCAGTGTCTAAGGTCATAAGACAAAGAAGCCTATTGATTACAACAATTTCCGATTATGACTGCCGGTTATGTTCCTTGATCACTTGGAAAAAACTTGGTGACGCTCTAGAGGCTGAAGTTGATTTGATATCCGATTGACTTTGGATTTATGCACAGGGTTAATGGTCAAGAAATGAAGAAGCCGATTGATTTTCAACGATTTCCGATAATGACTGCTAGAGTTATGGCCCTTGATCAATTTGAAAAATCTCGTGGAAGAACACTCTAAATGCTAAAAGTTAATATCCGATTGACTTCCAATTTATACACAGTGTTTACGCTCATGAGACAAAGAAGTGTTTTGATTTTCAAAGATTTCTGATAATTACTGCCAGAGTTATGGCCCTTGACCACTTTGGAAAATTTTGTGGAAGCGTAGACTAAAGTTAATATCCAATTGACTTCACATTTATACACAGTGTTTATGGTCATGAGACAAAGAAGCCTATTGATTTTCAACAATTTCTAATAGTTACTACCAGAAATGAAATGAAATGAAATGGGGTTTAACATCCTACTGTTCTGCTCCGAACTGGGCTAATGAAGACGGGCATACGCCATACAGTGTGCTATGAGGGAAATTTTGCGCGGACAGCGGCACTACGGCCTTCTCTTATATCGAATTCCAACTGTCAAGGGATCTTTTACGTGCACGCCAATGTGTACACGGGACCTCTGTTTTTCGTCCCATCCGAGCGACAGTTACTACCAGAGTTATGACCTTAGATCACTTGAGAAATCTTGTGGATATTCTAGCAGTGAACCGTGATTGAAGGTTTTCGGTATGTTCAGAGAAGGATTTGACCAACTGTTTTAAGTGGACTGTACCCAAAAATACTTTACAAAGGAACTCTTTGGCGATAAATACTTTCAAGTCTTGGAGTGTGTGAAGAAATAATCGAAATGTGGACGTAAAGAAAATTCTGAAAGATGTCTTAGACATGAAGTATGGGTAACCGATTTAAATATGCCGATAAGTACGCCGTCTATTTCGGTCCCGAGTGCTACAAACTGTACTATACTATTCAAAAAAAGTAGGGGATATTTGATTTTGGGGGCATAATACTAAAATATGCAAATGACTACGAAATAATTCACTATAGAACCTAACAGAAGAAACATTTCAAGTTACATGTGACGCCCAAACGCACCAATAGCTACCGCATGGAATGCAGGTGATGCTTGGGATCATCATGGGGGTCCAACCCAAGATTTGCACGACTCTGACTTTGAATGTTACAGTCATTGTGGCATTGAATTCCAGGGTGGAAACATCAGTTTAATTGTTTTAGTGACCAGAAAACAAATTTTGATATGCGTCGGCTTACCCAAAATGAAAGGTTACGTGCCCTTGGCATGCTACAGATCGGCACAACACAGGCGGTTGTGGCGCGGACGATGAATGTTTCTCAGTCTGTCATAAGCAGGCTATGGTCCAGATACCGTGATACACAATCTGTACAGGACAGACCACGCTCAGGTCGACCAAGGGCGACAACTCAAGCCCAGGATCGATTTATCCGTACCTTGGCCTTGAGAAATCGTGTCATCACAGCAAATCAGATCAGCGCTCGTCTTCAAACAGACACTGGTGTGAGAGTGAGTGGCCAGACAATTCGGAATCGACTGCATAGGGGTCACCTTCGCGCCCGACGTCCTCGCGTGATCCCTTGTTTGAGAGATCATCACATTCAGGCAAGACGTCGTTGGTGTAGGGATCGTCAACACTGGGATAATCGACGCTGGAGCAATGTGATGTTTTCAGATGAGTCAAGGTTCACTGTTGATTTTTTGGACAGACGTAGGAGGGTGTGGCGTCGTCGAAACGAGCGCTTCCAAGACGTTAACGTCATCAGACATGATCGATTTGGGGGTGGTTCTGTTATGGTGTGGGGAGGCATCACTGTTGCTGGAAGAACGGCTTTACATGTTGTTTACATGTTGTTGCAGGGCGTGTTACAGGCCAGTACTACCGGGACAACATCTTGGCAGTCCATGTTGTGCCGTTCGCACGACGTCATGGCCGCCGTTTCATCTTCCAGGATGACAACGCAAGATGTCACAGGGCCAGGATCGTTACAGGTTACCTCCAACAACAGAACATCCCCACATTACCTTGGCCAGCACTGAGTCCCGACCTCTCCCCCATCGAGCATGTCTGGGACATGCTTGGACAGAGGTTACGTCAACGTCAACAACGTCCTGCCAATGTCCAAGAACTTGCTGCTGCGTTGCAACAGGAATGGGACAATCTGGACCAAAATGACCTTAGACGTCTCATTAGGAGTATGCCACGTCGGATCAATGCTTGTTTGGCAAACAGAGGAGGATTTACCCGTTACTGACTTGGTTGTGATGCTGTGGTAACTTTGCTGTTTGACCCCGGGTATCATTTTACCCTTATAATGGTCAGTCTGTGCCTTACTTAGTCTAACGATCATTTGGAATAAATCGATGAATGTGAACTTCATTTCATTTTGTCATTTGTTTCTTCGTCAGTTTCATTAGGTGACTTTAATAACACTTAAAAATCAAATATCCCCTACTTTTTTTGAATAGTATATAACAATTTTTAATTGTCAAAAGAATAAAGATTTATTTCCGTGTTCTTTGTATTATTTTGATCATCGACGTCATTAGCGGTTGATATGAAATATCAACCTGTCATGACCTCATCAGCGGCTGATATGAACCGAATATATCAACCTATGATGACGTCATGACAGGTTGTTATGAGATCAACTGCTATGGACATCAAAGAAAAAACTACCGCCAGTTGTATATATATATATATATATATATATATATATATATATATGTATATATATTTAAGATTTAAGGAAACCTTGTTGAAAATCGTTGGTCTTCCCCTTTAAGCTCATGAGATAAACAATCAGTACAAATTCAAATGATTTCTGATAATTACTTTATGGGTTGTTACTCGTAATCAGATTTTTTTATGTTGTAAATGTTTCCATTACTTACGTACAAAAGAAAAATTTGTGACAACCCCTGTTGACTGCCGGATGACTTAGCTGCTGTGGGTGTACAATGTATGTTTCGTTACCTGGCAACCTATCTTTTTTAATATCAAAATTTATGAACACAAAGGAACTATCCCTGATTTCGAAGAAGGAGACGGTAAATAAATATGAGTTAAGTATGTATATATATTAAACGCTGATATGTGACAATGTACAGCCTTTTACCGGGTTGTAAATTTCAAATCAAAATATTAAGCCATTAGGAAATGATCGCCAGATTTGCTTAATAATGAATTGCATTCTTCAGTTGCATGTGCAACTTGATGATCACTATGACTTCAACAAGTGTATGTCATGATTGTTCAGACACATGTACATGAAATTACAGCCAACACCTAATTGAAATCTTTTGAAAATTTACTCTGAATTAACCAGTTTTATTATCACACACAATCATTTTTATGTGAAAGAAAAAATTAAATTGAAATCGGATTGGCTTAACAAATAAGTAGTTGACTTCAGATATCACAGAAGACAAATGATGTCACATAGTATCAGCTTCATAGCCACTGTTGACAAATTTTGAAATGAAGAAATCTATTCTATTGATTTGCATAATAAATATGGCAAAATGAAGAACTAGATCCAATCAAATTTTAATTATTTCTGAATGGGTTGTTACTCTTGATCAGTAAATGATGCCGTGACCTACCAAAGAATAGGTATGTAACTGCTCAGAGGATGTGTCTTTTTTGTTGCCTGGCAACCTATCTTTGAAGTACCAAAAATCTGATTTCTACAGCAAACGTTTGTCTTTGAATCACTTTATTGTGTTATCATTTTGTATTGAAGATACACTTATATCCTCAGAAATAAGCTCTTAAAACATTTGTTTGCTCTAAATTATTATGTTGAAATTGACATAATGATACCTCTTATTTTATTGGGTGTACTTTTATAAGCTAAGGAGGAAGTTTCATAATTGTAGGGTTGGTCTCTATTTATTATTAGCAAAACAAATCATTTCA